TACTCGCGGAGTGCTTGCTTTCTCCGTGCGGGAGTACTCTTTGTATGCTTTGACTATAGCAAATTTGCTATAGTCAATATTTGTGGAGCACTCGTCTAGATCAGATCCCTAACCAAAATCGCTATATTTTGAAATATAATAATAAAATTACAAAATTGTTGTCGACAAATTTCACTGTCACCGCAATTTCGACGTCTTTGTCTGCATGGAAATTCGAAGCTGAGTGTGAAAATTATCATGAAAGAAAAAGAATTTAAATTATAAATGTAAGTATAGAAAGTTTCTTTAATTCATATGTGCGTACATATTGTACGTAAAATCTTAAAATTAAAAATATATAGGTTATATTAGTAATGTACAATTACTTTGTTTAACACATTTTCTTTAAGTCAAACCAAAATTATGCATAACATATTTTTTAATAAACATATAAAATTAATAATTATAATTTATATATAATACATGTACAAAAAGTTGGATAATAGCACGAACCGTTGATATATCTACCTATATTACAAAAAGATATCGCCGCCGCCGCTGTTTCAAGATTCTGTCAGGGCGCCCTATCCCAAAGGGGCCGTCAAAACTTATGTCAAAATTGACCTATTTTTTGACCTATAGGTCAAAAAGAGGATAAGTAACGGCCTCACATTACGTCAAAATCTCTGTCTAATTTGATCTATTTTTTAAACTGTAGGTCAAAAAGAGGATAAATAACGGCCTTACATGACTTTAATATAGGTCAATTTTTAGGGCAGTTTTGACCTAGGCGTCAAAATTTAACAATGAATTCCTGCTACCATCAAAATTTAGGTCAAGTTTGAGGGCAGCTTTGACATAGATGTCAAAATTTGTCAAACAATTTCCGCGCGCAGACTTAATGATGAGGTGAAGTTTGTCATCTGACCTAACAATGTAAGGTAATTTTAAAATTGTGTTTGCTCTTACACCTATCCTTTTGACCTAATTTTGACGTTTTATTTTTACTCCCTCATTTAGTTACGTCATAATCTATGTGTAATTTGACTTTTATTTAACTACAACTTAAAAAGGGACAATAAAGGACAATAAACGAATCTATGATGCGTCAAAATCTATGTAAAATTTGACGCCTTTTTAACCTATAGGTTAAAGTGGGTCAAAATGTATGTCAAAGTTTAATCTAATTTTTGACATATAGATAAAAAAGGTCTATAACGATTGTTACATTACGTCAAAATCTATGTGTATTTTGTCATGTATTGTATGCAATTTATTAAGATGCATTGATATTTAAAAAAATTACTTTAAATTTATAAAAATTAAAATAAATATAAAAATAGAGATAGAGGGTTGGCGCGCAGGGGGGAAGCCCCCCTAGTATATATATATATATATATATATATATATATATATATATATATATATATATATATATATATGTCGTAGGCAACTAGAAGAATCCGGCATTAAGCTTAATTCCTAGGCAATAAGCTTACTGCCGGCAATTAGACGAAGTCGTTCAGATTTGTCTATTTGCCTAGGCAGTAAGCTTAATGCCCGGCAGTAAGCTTATTGCCCGATGAAGATTCGGCAATTAGACGAATCACATTAGAATCCATTTGCAGTGCACAAACGTCCTATAAAAAATTAATTAAAAACAATAATAATAATAAATCATTCTGGGCAGAATTAAATATTTCTTGGGTAAAAAAAATATTTCTTGAGTCTAATAAACATTTCTTGGATCAATTAAATAATTCTGGACAGAATTAAATATTTCTTGAGTAAAAAAAGTATCTCCTGAGTCAAATAAATAATTTTTTTACTTTTGCATAAAGAAAAATATTTCTCGACTAAAATAAATTTTGTTTAAGTGTATCAAACAATTCTTGACTAAAATATTCCTTTAGTGAAATAAATATTTATTGAGTCAAATAGAGATTGTTTGATTTAAATAAATATTTCTTGACTCAACACTGAGAAAACTGGAGTTGCAAATTCAGAGGTTCAAAAAGTGTATGTTTCCTTTGCTTATGAAGAGAGTTAAATAGTCCTTCTAAAATAAATTTTGAATTGACAATGGAAATCTACTTGTATATTCTCTCCCATTACATCTGAGGGTTAAAAGTTGCGCAGAAAATGTGTACGATCTGATGCGCGCGAAATTATTTTTCTGACATTTTATGTATTTAATTTAAGGGTTAGGTTGCCATATTTATTCATTTCGCGCCGGATAAGGAAGGGATTTCTCAATATGGTTAATTTGTCCCTCTGTTATAAACTCATTTTCCCTCCAAGAGAAATGGCACGAATATCTGTCAATGGTGTATTTGAACATTTAGATTGTTATCCAATAGCTAACTCTCAAATATGAACGATTTGTCCCTCCAGATGTTTAGTCCAATACTCCAGTTTTCTCAGTGAAATAAATGCTTCTTGACTTTTATAAATATTTGTTATCATTGAGAAATATTTCTTGAGTCTAATAAATATTTTTTGACTCAAAAAGAAATAATTCTTGGATGAAAGAAAATATTTCTTACGAAAATATAAATTATTTATTTGACTTGGGAAATATTTTTTTTACTCAAAAAATATTTAATTCTGTCCAGAATTATTTAATTGATCAAAGAAATGTTTATTAGACTCAAGAAATATTTTTTCTACCCAAAAAATATTTAATTCTGTCCAGAATGATTTATTTCAGTTAAGAAATGTTTATTTGACTCAAGACATATTTATTTTAGTCGAGAATTATTTATATGAGTCAAGGAATATTATTATTATTATTATCATTATTATTGTTTTTAATTAATTTTTTATAGGACGTTTGTGCACTGCAAATGGATTCTAATGTGATTCGTCTAACTGCCGAATCTTCATCGGGCAATAAGCTTACTGCCTAGGCAAATAGACAAATCTGAACGATTTCGTCTAATTGCCGGCAGTAAGCTTATTGCCTAGGAATTAAGCTTAATGCCGGATTCTTCTAGTTGCCTACGACATATATATACGTAATAGACGCTTTGACCTTTTAAGGGCTAATAATATTTTTATTACAAAAATAAATTAGGAGTCCTTTACAACCATGCAAATGAAGTAATATATACGATTAATTTTATTCTCATTTTATTGTCTCAAAAAATATACCTTGTAAATTAAACCTATAGTGTTCTTGTCGAAACGCCTAATCGAATTTAAACACCGCTGTATTTTAGATATGTTATTTTTTCAATATTTAAAAGATTTTTCTGCTGACCGCTAAACAACTTACTGAAATCTTATTCTTCATAATTATTATATTCATTTCAATATTGAATTTATGTTAAAGATTAATAGTAATTATTTGTCTTTATTCTCTAAACAAATTTTGATGATCATGTTCAATGAATTTTTTTAATTTCTTGGAAGGAAAATACAATTTTGAAAATGAGTTGCTTTCTTATTCACAATAATAGTTTATTAGTGTAATATATTTGTATGATAAATAAATAAATTTTTTAGGTCAAATTGATGCTATGGATACAAAAAAGACAGATGAATCGAACACGCCATCCAAGCGTAAAAATAAAAAAATCTTTGACGCCGATTTCGAAGATGCAAAAATACATGAGACAACTCGATGGCGATGGAAGAAAAAGCTAATGAAGTATAAGCATTCAAAAAAGGAAACGATATCAGGTATTGTGTATTTTACTTTAAAATTTCTTATCTTCATGAAAAATATTTAAAAATAAATAAATTTTTGTCTTTCTTTTTTGTAGGTTTCGAATCAATAGCGAATCGTGACGATGTAGAAATAGCAGAATCACCAGTGGAGTTGCCCATAGAAGTTGATGAGACTTTAAGAGTAACTAGTAGTTCCAAATCTTCTTTAAATTTAGAAATTGTAACAGATGAATTGACGATAACTGTACCTAGCGATCCGTTAACTGACTCGAACGCATCAATAGTTGAGAGCGATTGTCAAAATCAGCGTAAATTTTACTGCGGGTATGATTATAATCAATTTAAATGTGATTCAGAAAATAAGTCAGAAATTTTTGAAGATTGTGAAGATTATATTAATGATGAGGATAAAGCTATTTTTGATAATTCGGAAGAATGTTCCCCGAATAATGTTCCCCGAAGCTCAGCTGTCTACTCGTGATGTTTCTCTTATGGTAATGGCCTACAGTATACGATATCATTCTACTTTTGAAGGAAGAGATTCATTATTCGAAATGTGCAAAAATTTTGCTGGAGATAAATTCAAAGATTGGAACACTAGTAAATTTGTTATGAGCCAGCTATACGATCCTCCTAGTGAAGTTATTAAATTATGTTTCCTGTGCACAGAATGTTGTAATTCTCTACTACCACCTGTTTTGAAAAAAGAATTTAAAAAATGTCACGTAAAATAAGAGTGTGGGAAAGAATATAATTTGACAACACAATCACCTAATTACGTGATAATTATTGACATAAAGTATCAGATAGAGATGCTTTTAAAAGACGAAGAAATAAAAAGTGCATTGCTTAAGGGAATTCGAGATGCTGAAGAAAGGAAAAATGAAACTGGGAAAATAAGTGACGTCCAAGATAGTATATTGTATAAAAAAGCAAGAGATGTGTATTCTGATGCGTCGCATCTTGTTACATTAAACTGTTCAACCGATGGAGCTCCACTTTGTAATAGTTCAAACAAGTCATTTTGGCCGACACAAGTAATCCTCAATGAATTACCCCCAAAACTTAGATTTAAGTATCCTCTTCTGGCCGGATTAAGTATAAATGGAAAAGAGCCATCGCCTGAATTTTCATATGAAATATTTAGTGAATTAACTAAATCATTTGTCTAACGTAGGGATCGATACAACCGATGAAAATGGAATGCTCATAAAATTAACAATTGTTCCTTTATTATTTTCAGCAGACTCAGTTGCACGGCCAATTTGATAGAATAGAATCCAATATAACGGATACTTTGGATGTAGTTGGTGCTACAAAAGAGGATTTTACTGTCATAATGCTGTACGTTACCCTGTTAATAAAACGGATGCTGAAATAAGAAGTCACAATAGTCATAAAAAAGATAATGATGATAAAGTTAAATCTAACTCGCCAACAGTAAATGGAGTCAAAGGATTTTCAGTGTTAATAAATCTATTAACTTTAAACATGGTTTGGGGTTTCCCTATAGATTGAAGGAAGTGCGCCTTTAGATTAACACACGAAAAAAATTTCATGACGCGAACGAGCAATATTGGGAATATAATTAAAATAAAGAACAACATAACCAACGTTGGGAATTAAGCTTAACAACATTAGCCGAAAGTTTAGCCAATTCAGTGATAGTGAGCTTTGGTTGAGTGCAATTTGTCAGCCATATTGGAAGTATATGGAAATCTTGTTTGACAGCATAAATATCAGTTTTGTGTTTTTAAGTTTTAAAACAGTATTAAGTTCAATAATTTACTTTCATATGGTTGTAATTTTTTTATTTTTTTTTATTTGCATGATTAACAAGCCCACGGTAAAAACCATCAAAGGGCACTACAGAGAAACAAAATTACAAAAGTTGTAATGGTTACATAAGTATAATAAGAACTTAAAGGAAAAACAAAACTTTGTAATTTACTTATAATTAAAGAAAAAATATTAGAAAAATAAAATTTATATAACTTTTTATTTTGGTATCGAAGACGCAAAATTAAATCATAACGAAAAAAAGAAAACATTATTATGTTATGTTGAATTGGAATTATCTCGTAGATATAATATACTTTGTGCAACACCTGTAAGGAAAGTAATACTTTGCATGCCTGTAAAGTAGGCGCAAAACAGTACTTTGCTGCACTAGTGCGGCAAAGAGCTTACTTTCCTGCACTAGTGCGGCAAAGTGCTTATTTTGCTGCACTAGTGCGGCAAAGTGCTTACTTTGCTGCACTAATGCGACAAAGTTCTTAAACTTTTGGGTTTTTTTTAGATATACATAGGTATTTGTTTTCTATTTGTATATAATACCTGTTTTTTACAGTAATATACGCGTAAAAAACCACGAATATTACGTGCGGGAACATACGTTCCAAACCCTGCTAAACAGTACGTATGTTGGCGTCAACTAGCGTTTCCAAACAGCTTTTTTTATCAAAACCAAAAGGTGTTGCACAAAGTACTGTGTGCAACACGTACGAAAGAAGATTTTTCAACTTCGTGCAAATTGCTGCCCTCGCTTCGCTCGGGACAGCAAACTTTGCATTCGTCGGAAAACAGCTTCTTTCTGTACTTGTTGCACAATATACTATTGTGAGTTTATCTTTATATGAGAGTAAGGACAAGTAAGCGAAATCTAAATCTATGTTATGATGAACACACATTACATTTATGGCGTTGCACATATTATAAATAGAGGCAGAAAAACCAATTGCCGAATTAGGCATAGGTACTGCGAAAGGTTAATAATATCTGGAAGACTCACGAGGAACTAATTTGAAACATACAATTGAAAAAAATTAAAAATCCGCATTTAATTTTAATTTTCACAGAATTTTAATTATATCTGTCATTGTAGGGTTAGATTGTCTTTCAAGTAAAATTCAATATTGCTATTTTAGCGATAATGCCAATATCGCTCGCTCGTTTTTGACGAAATGTTTAGCTGTTATGGCGAAAAATTTCTCCATTTCTAATGTACTTTTTTTCCGTGCAAGTGTTCTTGCATTGTCGTCGAATTGATGTATAGTTTTAGGATTTTGAATGGTCATGTGTGTTAGCGATTGCGAAATAATTCTATGGAGTGTTAGATTTGAATGAAATAGGTGGGGACTTTTTTCATTGAAAGATTCACGAGAATTGTAAATAAGAGAAGTCTTCACTCATCGTATGCTTTCGTCAGAATACACTGTCGTATTATAAGCGTGCTGCCAGCGACCTTATAGTTATTATCATTTATAGTTTTTGTTAATAAAATGTTTTACTAATAATGTATCAAAATAATGTTATAGTGTGGCAGTTAAAATTCTTACGGTGAATGTGTGAAGATTGGAGTTATTTTCAATTAATTCGACCACGAGGCATTAAACTGATCAAGGAATTTAATATAATGGTTTATTGAAGAAGCGAAAAAACGCATTTATAATTACAATTCTAATTTATCACAACTGCCTAATTGTACATCGTAGATCATAAGGATAATCATAATCTTCTTTAAATAAAGGAAAGGAATTGAATGCTCCAACTTCGTAAACGGCGAAAGCGACGATTGGATAAGTTTTATAATTATTATTTATACATTTCTTATATTTTGTTAATGTCTTTTACTCCATAATTTCTTTTATTATAAACGAAAGCAATACTTGTATGTTTCTTTAATGTTTTATGTGCACACCATATAATAAATATAAATTTTAAATTAACGCCAATAAAATAAAAGAATTCTAAATTGCGAGAAACGTCTCTATATATTTTGCGATCTAAAGGTCATTTTTGTATACTCAGAAAATTGTTTATAGTGAATTAATTAAATCAGAATCAAATATTGTTAAAAGAAATTTTTGTTGTATTTATATTTATTTTTACGAAATTCGGAATAAATCATTTGACGGATTATATTTTATTAATTTGTTAATTCTATAATTTGAGGATAACGTATTTTATTTGTATTTTTAGTTAATTTTTTATTAATAATCAATTATCCACATTGATTTTAAAAACTACTATATATTTATTTATTTATTCTGATTTTATTTAAAAGACATTGAAACAAATATTTATTAAATTGTTAAAAATTATTACAAGATTATTTACATTCACAGCTGCTAGGTGTACTAAGAAATTTATTTAATGTTTGGATTGAAACGAAAATTTTAAAAGCTGATACACTCAAAGAATTAAATAATCGGCTTCTGAAGATGACTCCTCCGCATGAAATACATCGTCAACCAAGAGCGATAAAAGAAAAAGCCAAGTGGAAAGCTACCGAATGGCGTTCTTGGTTGCTTTTTTATTCTTTAGTGTGCTTAAAGAGATTAGTACCAGATACAGTACTAAATCATTACGCTCTTCTTGTAGATAGTGTTTTCATTTTGTTACAAGATTCAATTTCTAAAACGGAACTTAAAATCTGCGATGAAAAATTATTAATTTTTGTTGTACAACTTCAGGAGATGTTTGGAAATAGCGTAATGACATTTAACGTTCACAGTTTGTTGCATCTCGTACAGTCAGTCCGTATGTCAGGACCTCTGTAGTCAACATCAACGTTTCCTTATAAATGTGCAATTTTTTTTTTTAAGAGAGAAATAACTGGTCCAAAAGACGTATATGATCAAATAGCTAAGCGATCATTACTAAGGCTTATTTTTAATTATACGTACAAGGAACTTGCACCTTTAAAAACATGTAAAAAATTTTGTGAAAATCTTTTTACACATTCCCGTTGTAAAAGCGGTATCGAAACCAATGATAATGTTCTCCTGCTTGGTTATTTTGGAGATGAAGAAGATGGTATTCAATTATTTAACCGATGTGTATGGAAATCTGTAGTATTTCATAGCGTCAAGTATAAAAGGCCTGCGAAAACAAACGACACTTTTGTTATGTTAAATTGCGGAGAATTTGGCGAAATTCAAGTTTTTAAACGCCAAATTAATAAAACACTAGTATCGATAAATCTGTTCAATTTAATTCCAGACGAAGTTGTCTCTGTTTCGCACATAAAAAATACAACGGAGTAATGTAATTGTAACGGTTTCCATCGAAGATATCAAACAGAAGTTAGTATATATGGAAGTTCTTGATTCTGCATATGTCAGTAGAATGCCTAACACCGTCGAAATTTAATAAAATTCAATACCAACGTGTTGAAAAAGCTATTAGTAATTACTCGAAAAAATAACAGTGTTAGAATAAAAAAATTAAACACTATCATAAGATTTTTTATTTACCAATTTACCATTTTGAATATATAATAAAAAATATAATATAACAATATTAATTATTTATTTTATTAAATTATATAATAAATAATACTATAAAAATGTCCTTTTAAATTAAATAACAATAATTACTTTCATAAGTGTATGTTGATAATCAATAAGAATATTAAATGTACGATGGGAAAAAGATAAAAGGAGATAAAATGATGGTTATCAAAAGGGATTAAATAAGAAGAGAAGATAGAAAGAGATTGAACCGATTATAACAGTGGTAAAATTAGTAGATATAGCAAGGTATAGAACGAGATAAATATGCAGTGACATTGAAATGAGTATAAAGTGTTATCTTTAGAGATAGAAAAGAGATTCAAAGAGATAATATAAAGATTATTGAAAAAGATTTAGAAAAAGGAAAAAATTCAATTGTTTTAATGTACTAGAAAAATATAGAATGCGATAGAACCGAGGGGATAAAAGGAGACAAGATAAGCTAAGATTTAAATGGGGATAGAAAGAGAAAGAAGTAACTAGAAAAAAGGTAAAAGGAGATAAAATGTGGGTTATCAAAAGAGATTGAATAAGAAGAGAAGATAGAAAGAGATTGAACCGATTATAATAGTGGTAAAATTAGTAGATATAGCAAGGTATAGAACGAGATAAATATGCAGTGACATTGAAATGAGTATAAAGTGTTATCTTTAAAGATAGAAAAGAGATTCAAAGAGATAATATAAAGATTATTGAAAAAGATTTAGAAAAAGGAAAAAATTTAATTTTTTTTATGTACTAGGAAAAAGATAGAATGCGATAGAACGGAGGGGATAAAAGGAGACAGTATAAGCTAAGATTTAAATGGGAATAGAAAGAGAAAAAAGTAACTAGGAAAAAGATAAAAGGAGATAAAATTAGGGTTATCAAAAAGGATTGAATAAGAAGAGAAGATAGAAAGAGATTGAGGGGAATGAAAAAGGAATAGCCTTGAATAGAAACAAGATTATGAAAAGAGATAGGTATGTTATTAGATGAAATTTGAGATAGAAAAAGATTGATGTAAATATTAAGAGTATTAAAAGAGATAAAATAAAGGTTATTGGAAAAGATTGATACAAATGGAGAGATAGAA